TCTGGTTGCACTGGTGAAGCCGATAGCTGGAGGGGTCTCCACATGCAGGGCTGGCGTACTCTGAGTGCCACCCATGTCCTGTCCTTCCCAGAACGTTCGCCCTCATCCGAGCTGGCATTTTGACCCAACTCCCAGAGGCTGGAAACACAGGGGCCTGAAGAGAAAAATGCGCCTTGAGGAGACAAGGCAAGCACAGACTTTGATACGGCCACTTTAATATTAGAACACTGCCTTCGGAAAAACAACTCCACGTGAGACCCGGGATTAGTGTCCTGGCTTTTAAACGGCGATGAAAGGCACCTTGGGGCGGCTGAGGAGGCCCGAATGAGACCGACCCGGATGATTTAGGGTTAGGGAACCAGGCGTGGCTGCAGCCTGGGGGCAGGGGTGTTGAGGTGTGCATCTTCCTCCGGACGCGAGGGGGACTCAACTCTGTGGGGAAAGTCTGGCGCATTTGAACCAGGCGAGCCGGTGGGGGGACATGGCAGCGTCCTGTCAGCACCACCTGTGTCTGGACCCTTTCCTCCTTGGGAGAAGAGCCAGGCAGCAAGAAGCTTGGGGGCCATGCCAGGTGTGGCTGAGGAGCTTGGGTGGGGAGGGCGGGTTGTTGGGACCCTAAGGGCAGAGCGGAACCACCCTCCTCCGGCTTGCTGGACTGGGGTCTTGAAGGAAGTAGCCGCTGGCCAGATTGTTGACCAAAGGAGAGGCTAGTGGACCTGAACCACCCACCTTCGCGGAGTACCTGATGGATTGCTTAACCTCTGCACCACCAGGGCTCCTTTGGGTCAGGGAGTGCTGCCCAAAAACCCAGAACAGATCCAGGACCCAGATCAGCCTTTGAGCCTGCACAGGGGAGGAGAGAAGTTGCACGAGCTCCCCCAGCAGCTGGGGAGAAGCAAGATCAGCACCATGGCTGCCCAGCCAGGAGACCTGCTGGAAGGGATGCTGGAGCGGATACTAAGGGGGTGCTGGGAGAATACTAGGGGGATGCTGGGGAAGATACTAAGGGGGTGCTGGGAGAATACTAGGGGGGTGCTGGGGAGGATACTGGAAGGGATGCTGGGGAGGATACTAGGGGGATGCTGGAGAGGATCCTGGGGAGGATAACAAGGGGGGTGCTGGGAGGATACTAGGGGGATGCTGAGGAGGATACTAGGGGGGTGCTGGAAGGATACTAGGGGGATGCTGGGGAGGATATTGGGGGGGATACTAGGGAGATGCTGGGGAGGATACTAGGGGCGTGCTGGGAGGATGCTGGAGAGGGTACTAGGGGGATGCTGGAAGGGATGCTGGGGAGGATACTAGGGGGGTGCTGGGAGGATACCAGAGGGTGCTGGGGAGGATACTACGGGGGTGCTGGAAGGATACTAGGGGGATGCTGGGGAGAGCTAGGTTTGGGGGAAGGAGGGGCAGGGGCAGGGGCGGGTCTAGAGAGGGTGAGCAGAGGGCAAGGTCTGGAAAGAAGTTGGGGAAGGCTGTGGGGATCGGGGGGCTTGAGGGGATGCTAGAGGGAGGGGCCTATTGGATGGCTTCTGGAGGGCAGCCAGGCCTTGCCCTCACTTTTGGCTGGACCATGAGTTACCTGTCCCATCCATCACCAGGGCGACACAGGGAGCCATGGACCACAGGTCACCTGTCCCGTCCATCACAGTGAGCCATGCGAGGTTGGAAACTGTCATTCTTTCCAATCACCCTGTACTTCTCAGAGGAGCCCTGGTGGCAGCCATGGCTTAGGCATGGCTTAAGGCTTGGCTTCTTTATTATTATTAAATACCTTTATTGGGGGCTCCTACATCTCATCACAATCCATACATTCACCCATTCTGTCAAGCACATTTGCTGCCATCATTTTCAAAGCATTTTCTTTCTACTTGAGCCCTTGATAGCATCTCATTTTCCCCCTCTCTCGCTCATCCCCCTCCCTCATGAACCCTTGATAAGTTATAGATTGTTATTTTCATGTCTTACATCACGCTCTGTCGCCCTTCACCCACTTTTCTGTTCTTCGTCCCCCGTGGGGACAGGGTTATATGTTGGCCCTTGTGATCGATTAAGGCTTGGCTTCGCACTGAAAGCTGGGAGAAAAAGGAGGCCACCTCACCGAAGCACCTGGGGGCAGGCCTGGCCGTGGGCTCCCACAGGGCACAGCCAGGGACCCTCAGGGCCGCTGGCTCCACCCTGCACATCTGGGGTCACCACGAGCTGGCTCTGCCGACCACCGCAGCACAGGGCTCCTCAGGGATTTGGAGTCTCACAAGGAGGACAAGCGTGTGTGCCGTGGGGCCGGGGACAAGGAGGACAAGCGTCCGTGACATAAGCAGGGGACGGCCTACACTGACGGCCAGGCCTGTCCTCTCAGGTGCCTCTGGTGGACTTGGCCTTCTGCCTTTCATTCTGGGCTCAGGAAGGCACCGCGTCTCCCTGCCAACACCCGGGAAGGGACGGACGAGAGGGCCTGCGCCCCAGCAGCAGCCAGTGTCTTCTCGGCTGCGGTGATGCCGGTGTGCAGGCCGTTTGGTGCTTTCCAGGGAGACGGTTGGCCTCTCCCGAGTCCCCGAGGGGATGCAGAGAGGCCCAGTGGAACGGCCACCTGGGAAAATGGCATTTGTGTCCCGGAGCGTTTCCAGCCTGACGGGACCTGTGGTGTCAGGGAACAAGGGGCCCGCCTCAGCACGCAGTGGTCCTTCCACGGAGCTGCCGCCCACTGTTCCGGAATGTTCCACACAGTCCTTCTCTACCCTCTTTTTTCCAGCAGAGAACAGCGAAGGGGCTGGGCAAGGAAAGGAGAACAGGGGTCCCCACCTCGAGTCTTTAGGCTGCCCTATCCTTGGGGTCAGCGTGGCGGTGGCCAGGCTGCCCGGCAGACACGAGGGTACTGGCCATCTGCAGCCTCCTGCATTCAACAGTGGCAGGGGGCCTTGGCCCTGGGACCCTGGCCCACGAGGACGGGGCTGGAGTCCAGGGCCAGGCTGCCAAGGGCGCCCTCTGAGCCCAGGGCCAGGCTGTTGCGGGCCATGAGCTCCTTGGCCATGAGCACGAAGACCTCGTCCACGTTCCTGGACTCCTTGGCCGAGGTCTCCAGCACCGCCAGGAGCCCGTGCTTCTCGGCCAGCGTGCAGGCGTCCTCAAACAGGACCCTCCGCTGCTGCCACAGGTCCGCCTTGTTTCCTGGGGGCGGGGAGCAGAGGACATTTCAGGCGTGGGGATACGCACATGGTGTCCCCCACCCCACCCCGGGGGCCAGGTGGGGAGCACGGCAGGGGGCCTGGTAGCCTTGGAGACCCTGTGGGCGGCTGGGAATTTTGGGACCCACTAGCCTAGTTCCAAGTCTTGATGGCTTGGGAAGGTGAGGCGTCTGTCCCTCCAGGGCTGGGAAAGACCCAGCCCTTCCCTTGGGGCATCTATGAGGACTGTGGACACAGGTCAAGCTGCACCCCACCTCCCCCGTCCTTCAGCATACTGATTACAGCCCAAGGCCCAGGGCTACAGTGAGGTGACCACGTCACATACCAGCCCCTCTGGGGCAGTGTTACAATGACCCTGGTCACCAGGCCCTGGCCCAGCGAGCTGCCCAGTGCCCCGGGTATGTTGGATCTGACTCTCCCCTTCAGAAGGAGACTGGGGAAAGGTGGGCTTTGGCCAGGGAGACAAGAAGTGGGCAATGCCCTGAGGGCTGTGGGCTGTTAGGCTGGTGAGCTGGGTGGCCAGTGGTCTCTGAAGGAGAAGCCAGTGCCCAGCCAACCCAGGAGCAGGTAGATGCCCCTCCCCACACACACACGTACATACAATCAGGGAAATTCTGGCAGAAGCAGGTAGAAGTAGCCATACACCAAACCAAACCCCTGCTGTGGACTTGCTTCTGGCTGCAAGCAATCTGAGCAGGGTGTGTATGTGTTTGTGTGTGGTGTGTGCTCATGCATGCGTGCACATGTGTGGCGTGTGTCTATGCACATGCGCTCTAAGTGACCCAAGGGCCTATGTGTCTATGTGTGCTCGTGCGTGCCTGTGCGTGTGAGGTAAGTTTACCTGTGTGTGCACCCAACATCATTGCTCCCCACCCCAAGCTGGCCCCTGCAGCCCTTGGCAGCCCCTCCCACATCCAGTCTCTGACTTGCCTCCTCCCAGGGCTCAGGGAAGTGGGGTCACCTGCTGTGTCCTTGCAGTCATCACTGGAGGTTTTCAGCAGGGGGACTGGACGCAGGAGTTGGCAGTGGCTGGGGAGCAGGCCCAAATCCACCCTGCTGTCTGTCTGGGGCTAGAGGGGCTGCAAGGGCTGCAAGAATTGGGGCCCAGCAAGGGCGGGGCCTCCTCAGAAGGTCTGACTTTCTGGACCACCGCTGGGAGTGGGGGCACTGGAGAGAGCAGGTACCCACCTGCCAGCTTGGGGGCTGGGGTGGGCACTGGCAGAGAGCAAGAACCTGCATATGAGTGTCAGCCTAGGCTGGGGCTGGGGACCACTCCCTCTGACCATCCTGGGCTCTGCTAGAACCAGCTAGGGAGACTAGAGGGGACTGTCTGCAAAGACAGGCTTGGGGTAAATACCAGAGAACATTGAGGTCCCCAGAGACCCAACACTTAGCCTCTGCCACCCTCTGCTGTACCTGCTGCCCGGAGCCACTAGCAGTGAGGACAGTGTGGGCCTGGCACCTGCCAGGCCACCTGGAGGCCCTGGGAAGGGCCCAGGGGAAGGGGGGCGGGGGCAGGTATGAGAGGCGGGGCAGAGGAGCAGCAGAGGGGCTGCCTGAACCGAGCCCGGCCTAGCAGGACTTTGATATCCTATGTGTCCTGGCGCAGCTGCCCTGGGCTCCTGCTCTGCTGGGCGTGTCCCTGCAAGAACCAGAACCAACCCGCTGCCACCCAGTGGGGTTGGACTCAGGTGGCCCTGCAGGCAATGCAACCCTGCCCTGCCGGTGTGGAGGCCGCCATCTTGCCAGGGCACACAGCCACAGCTTCCCCCCACTGCCCCACTGCCAGGCCTGACTGCTGTTCTTGAACCTCCAACCTTCTGGTTAGCAGTTGAGTGCTTAATAGCTGTGCCACTGGGGCTCCTTCTGGGACTTAAAACATCAAAACCAGAGCCACTGCCCCCAGTCGGTCCCACCTACGTGACACCGTGGGACAGAAGGCTTGCCCTGCGGGTCCCCAAGGCTGCTGGTGTGACGGAAGCCGACACCCACAGCTTTCTCCCCACCGTGGCTGGTGGGGTCATGCCTAACACACCACACCACCAGTGCCCTCCACCCACATAATTTGGCTGAGTTAGTTCCTTCAAACAAGTGAACTTTCTAGAAACAAATCCCACGCCTGATTGAGCACTTCGTGGTCCAGGCGTCCCTCTGCGAACAGAAAGTGTGGCTGTCCTGGCCTGCCCTGAGACCCCTTGGAAGAAAGGCCTGCTGATCAAAGCCCAACATGCATCGCCGGGAGTGCCCCCGGGCCCAGCTCTACGCTGACGGGCGTGGGGAGGATCAGCAGCTGAGTTTGACAAGGGCATCCGGTGCTGAGCAGGTGTGCTGGGCCAGGCCCCACCAAGCACCTCATGAGCATCCCCACCTCCCCACTGTACAGCTGGGAAGCTCCCATCCCCCACCAGACCAGGAAAGGGGAGCCAAGAGGCTAAGTGCCCGTGCAGGATCCTGACAGACTAAGGGTCTGTCCCCCAGGGGTCACCTGACATCTGTCCCCAGTGGGTACTTGAGAGGCCAGGGGGTGTCCAGTAAGTCTGTCCTGCAGTAGGCACCTGACAGGCTGGGGATGTCTCCCATGTGGGCACCTGAGAGACTAGGCTGTCCCCCACTTGGTAGGTACCTGATCGATTGGGGGTCCCCCAGTGGGCACCTAGCAGACTGGGTCCCAAGGGGTTTGGCCCCTCTCAGCTAGTCGCTGGCTTCCCAGCAGAGCCTGGAGCTGCAAGGGGCACTAGAACCCAGGGAGGATGGCACCTGGGAGCCAGCAGGGCCCTGAGGACGCAGCGAGGAAGCGCTCAGTGGCCAGCCCCAAAGGTCGGTGGGTAGAAGCCACCAGCTGCTTGGTGGGGGAGAGACATGGCTGGCTGTTGGCACATGGGAACCCCGTGGGGCGGCTCTGCTCTGTCCTGTAGGGTCACTGAGTCAGAACTGGCTGGCGGTCAGTGAGGGGTGGGCTACGGCCGAGCCCCGGCCCTTCCAGCAGCGGAGCTTGGATGATGCTGAAGCTGCTGGCACCGACACTATGCTCTGAGCTGTCAGCTCAGCAACCCATCTGTGGCAACGGGAAACACGGCCGGTCCGGTGCTATCCTCCCAGCCGCCCTGCCTGAGCCCATCTCCTTAAGGGTCTTCCTCTTTGCCCTGCCTTCCCCTCGGCGGAGCAGGATGCCCTTCTCCAGAGGCTGTTCCCTCCGGGCAGCACAGGAACAGGGCCAGAGTCGCGGATCACCTGCTCCTTCCCGCCAGGTCCCCTAACAGGGGAACTCCAGGGCACTGTCCCTCAAGTCTAACCCCTGCCCTGACTGTCACAGAGCAGAACTCACCAATCAGCATCACGACCAGGTTGGCAGCGCCGTACCTCTCAACCTCCTGGATCCAATGGGGGATGGACTCGAAGGTGGAGCGGCGGGTGAGGTCGTAGGCAATGATGGCCGCGTGGGCGCTGCGGTAGTAGCTCTGGGTAATGGTCCGGAAGCGCTCCTGGCCGGCTGTGTCCCACACCTGCATCTGCAGAGAGATGGGCGGGGTTGGGGCAGAGCCCACACCTGAGGGGAGCCCCACCTGAGCCCTTTCCCAGCAGCCCCTGGCTCTCCTGAGGGGCTGCAAGGGAGTGAGGAAACCCGTGTTTCCGGCACCTCCCTGCAGGATCCAGACCTACTCTGGGTCTGGGAACCACGGTCTGAGATTCACAACGGTCCGAGGAGGTGCTGGTGTGGGGACTTTTCACATCATCATCCTTGGGACCAGATGTTGGGGTCCCTTCTGTGGAGGCTGCCTGCTCCTGGTAGTGCAGGGACCAGCAGGGCCCAGACCAGCTGTGGCATGTCTAGACGTCCACGTAGGCAGTCTGTGCCCAGATATGTCCTCATCAACAGCTCCCAAGGGGCTTGAGCTACCACTCCCTCCCAGTGCTCGGCTTCACACTGCTGGTCAGGGAGATACTCCCTCACCCTCAGCACTAGAGAGGGTCCAGCCTGTCCACCCCTCGCCCAGACGTGGTCCCTTGGCCCCCGCCCTCCATGTCTTCAGCTGATTGTGGCAAATTGGATCCCAGACCTCACTCCTTTTCACCCCTCCACACGTGGACAAACACCCTGCTGCTGAAGACAGACGCCGTGCTGTCTCACCGTGGTCTCTGCTGGTGACAGTCCCACTGACTCCATCACCCAGACCCTGCAGCATGTCTCCGCACATCTTTCCCTTGTCCTCAGTCCGAATCCCCAACAAGCTCCCCTTACTACATTTAGTCCATGCCCGTGATCTTTCCCGAGCCGATGAGTCAAGGCAGCATGCACCCGTGGCCGTTTTCCTCTCTGTGGCAGTTTGGTTGAGTGGGAGGGGGCTCCTCCGTGCTCGCCCTATTTCCAGAGCGCCTGTTTCCACCCGTCCTCTGTCCTGTGCCCTCCTGCCTCTGAGCTGTCTCCCTGGGCCACCGCCACGCTCGGCTTGCTCCTGTCCAAGGACTGGCGCTCCCTGGGGTTACTGCTTAGCCTGCCCACTGTGTGGCGAGCCACGTACTTGGCTGAAAGGGCCTCGTGGGTTCCACCAGTCAGAGCAGGAAGCCCAGTCACATCACACCCTTGTCATGTTTCCCTGGGCACATGACAATGATGGTGGCACTGCCCTTTAACCTCTGAGAAGAATAAGAAGAACCCCAGGGAGACGGGTGGACCCCGTGGCTGCCACCAGGACTCAGCCAGGACGGCCGCCTTGAGGAGGGTGCAGGCTGAGCTGGTCACCAGGAATCGGAGCCGACTGCACTGCTATGCACAACAGGGACACCAGTATGCAGTCCAGGAAGGGCGTATGCAGGGCCCGGCCGCTCAGGCGTGTCCTCGGGCGAGGGGCCTGAGCTGCCTGTGGCCACCCCTCACCTTGACCCTCTTGCCGTCGATGTGCAGGGAGCGCACGGTGAAGTCCACCCCGACGGTGTTGTGCTGCGTGTCCCTGAAGATGCCCGACTGGAAGTGCTGGACCACGCACGTCTTGCCCACGTTGGAGTCCCCGACGAGGATGACCTTGAACAGGAAGTCGAAGTTCTCGTCCTCGGCCCGGGCCAAGCTGGAGAAGGGCATGCCCGTGGTCACCGGAGGGGACCGAGGAGGGGGAGAGGACATCTGCGTGGGCACCAGGCTCCCCGGGGCACAGGTCAGCATGAGGTCATGGCCATCACCCAGAACCTGTGAGGAAAAATAATAAACACGATACTGGGAGGGTGGAGGGAGGGTGGGTTGGAAAGGGGGAACCGATTACAAGGATCTACATG